CCGTGGTTCGAAACCGACCTCTGGCCTCACGACTTTCACTGTTTAAGCTTGGGCGACCTGGCAGTATCTCATCCCTCGTGCTTCCTTATGGTGGCATGGCAGTTAGGCACTGAAAGGGTGTTACAGCTAAACGTTGCTGCTTACATGCAGGATCGATAGTCACTGGGAGGACCAGACGAGTTTTAAACTGCTTTTGGCCCTGTGTCATCAGAAACTACTGCCGGCGGCATATTCACATCTCGAGTAGTGTGAGGCCAGTTATTCGTGAAAGCAAATGGTGATGATACAGTCATCATTCTAATTTTTCAGCGGTAAAAACCGCATACAAATTGCACAGTGGTTATATCGGTGCTACTCGCATTCGAGGATGGGCACCGCGTGATCCCCACTGCGCCTGGTTGGAGACATTGCAAGATATGGCTGCCAACCGATGTCAGTGGCGTTCTTGTTGTTAGTTTCCATCCAGATCGCCTGAGTGAATGTCTGGAGGTGTAGGCACGTCGGATTGATTGTGGTAAGCTGGCGCTAGGTCCCTCCCCCGTCCACCTTTATTCTTTTCTTTACAATAAGGCTTTCAAATAAGTCATGGTTGTACGGCAGTGGAGCATCGGTGCTGAATACTGATGTCATGCCGTCGGTGATGATGGTGATGATGATGATGATGATGATGATGAGGATGATGACGATACATTCTTCACTTGTTGGCTCCAAGTGGAACTGCATTCTATTTGAGTCAACTGACTATCTTTTGGAACTAGGGGATCCACGAAGATTGCGAAACGGAGTGATCACTCATAACAGCTGTCAGACGAAACTAATCAATAATGAAATCCGAACTACGACAAGCAATAACAGGATAAGTTGGGAATGATCAATTCAAATGCAAAATGTCATACAAAAGCAAAACAAAAACATTTTTGTGCTTCGGCATTTCCTNCCCCCATCCACCTTTATTCTGCTTGTAGTGTGACAGATGAGGTGAATGCACGAATATGCAAGGCTCGGGCCGCGTTTGTCAATTTAGACGCCTATGGCGTCAAAGTGGCATACTCCTGAATCTCAAGGGACTTGTGTGTCAGGCTACAGTACGGGCTGTTTTATTGTTTTGCTGTGGTACTTGGTCTGATCGGGCAACGGACCTGAGACGTCTTCAGGTGTTCGACAATCGTTGTCTCAGAACCATAGCTCGTGTAGGCCGGTGTCGGCCAAACTATAATGGGATGGTTAGAAAGCGTTTTTCCGGTTGTGAAACGGGTACTTCCATTGTTATGTTCTTTTTGTGTTTCTGTAAGATATCAAACATTTAGTAATGTTTGTGTTTTCTGCGAATTTTGCGCCATCACATGGCATTTTCGGAAAATTCTGAAGATTTTGGCAGCTATTCAAGAAGACTTTGTTTTGAATGATAATTCGAAGTTTGTTTTAGGGTACAGAGTTTACTTTCAGAACATCGTCGCCTAGTTGAGTAACAGCGAACGCTAGAAGGTCTTCAAAACCCTGGTGTTCAAACTTTGCAATAGGAAAACGAAATCATTCTTGTCTTTAAAGAAGAGGAGAAGACGCGGGTTTCTTTGGACCAAAGTCTTTTAGTATGCACTTTGTACCCACAAAGTGTAAGCTCATGATTCCGGACATGTAGTCACTGACCACGCCGCTTACAACCTAGGGAAAGTTACTGGAAGTTGTGAAGCGTTTTACGTATCTTGAAAGTTGTATTAACTCTGCTTGTAGTGTGGCAGATGAGATGAATGCACGAATCTGGGAGGCTTTGGTCGCGTTTGCCAATTTAAGACGCCTATGGCGTCAAAGTGGCATACTCCTGAATCTCAAGGGACTTGTGTGTCAGGCTACAGTACGGGCTGTTTTATTGTTTTGCTGTGGTACTTGGTCTGATCGGGCAACGGACCTGAGACGTCTTCAGGTGTTCGACAATCGTTGTCTCAGAACCATAGCTCGTGTAGGCCGGTGTCGGCCAAACTATAATGGGATGGTTAGAAAGCGTTTTTCCGGTTGTGAAACGGGTACTTCCATTGAGGAATGTGTCCAGCATTACAAGCCGTGTTGGTTAGGCCATGCACTGTGCCTGTCGAACCATCGTTTACCGAAGAGTGCATTTATTCGCTCTCATTTGAGAGTGGCAGAAACAGAGGTGTGTGAAATAGAATATGAAACGTTTGGGCGCTGTTGGCACGACTCGCCTTCCAGGATAGGAACCGCATGATGCTGCTAATCGATGTCGGTGGCGTTTTTGTTGTCCGTTTCTATCCAGATTGCTTTAATGAATTTTTGGAAGTGTTGGCACCTGGGAACGATTGTGGTCAGCTAGCATTATTTCTCTTCCCGGTCCATTTTATCCATTACCTTACCATAAGGCTTTCAAATGGTTGCATGTCGGCGAGGCGTAACTGTTGAACAATGATGTCATGATGTCGATGATGATGAGCATGTTGAATTAAGTATCGGTGGTTTTTTTCGAGGGCTCCGAATAATCCCATATAATTTTGCTTGATCATCAAAAAGAAGAGTGATGCGCCAGTTCTTCAGACAAATGTCATAGGCATTCGAAAAAATGCTTTCTCCAATGTGCCGTTGATTAATCTGCGCGGCTCCTACCATTTCAGCAGTGTGATGAACATGTACAATTCCGTACCCAGTTCACGTGAGAAACGATTTTAAAAAGCAAGGTGCGGTTGCTATGCAAACGGAGAGATTGCACACAGTACCATTTGAAGCAGGGCGAAAGTTTGCACTGAGAAATCTGTTGACGTGTTGGTGAAAATCCCTAATCATAGAAGGTAGTAGTATGTTTGCGGGAGACGAACAGTTACAACTCGATAATTGTGAAGGAGAAGATGTCCAACGGGCTGGCAATTACTTGTTCCAACTGACGGGTGCTTTATCGTTCTGAGACTTCATAAGTGTTTGTTTATGCATAGGCAAGCAACTCAATACCGTCAGCAACGGAGTAACTACATTGTGATAAAGCAAAGGTCAGTGACAGATTTTGCATTCCAGAAAATATATACAAAGCTAAATTCCCAGGGATCCTTGGCACGAGACTCTGGCTTAGAGAGGAACACGATCTCTTGTGAATCACCTGATAAAGGTGTAACGGTGATATTACTGATGGAGAAGCATGCGAGTATTATGTTTTATTATAACTCCGCTTTGGGCCTCTTCAAAAGCGAAATCTGTCGCGGAATTTGTGGAGTTGGTTTGTAGCATTTGCTCGTACTTGAGCAGCAGTATCTGGGAAAGTTCAGGAAGACGCGTTCATGAGAGGATGGATGTTCAGGTTTTGTAAATAAGATGCAAATGAGAATTTTGCTTCCCTGTCCAATAGTCCGTAACTGGTCAGTTGGCATTTTCTAGTAAAGAAAAGAACTCCGATGGCCTTCCTCCTTTTCAAAGTAGAAATTTTAGTTGTGGGTTCTAATCGTTTTTCAGAACAGCAACGTCGAAAAGCGGCGTGGATTTTTTTTTGAGACAACGATGATCAATAGATTGAACTGAGGTTTAAGGCCCGAAACGAGACAAAATAGTCAGTTTTTGATTGACTGCCATGTTTTACACCCAGAGGGATGGGACAGAATAAACTTGGCCTTTTTTCCTTGAGCTACGTCATACCATTCGTGCAAATTTCACTCAAGCCCATTTAGGCCACAGAGGAAGTAGTCGAATCCATCGAACGACGCCATCAGATAAATGAAAATTTACTATATTGGTTCATTTGTAACAAAAGGACAAAAATCCGCTTTGCTAAACGCCATAACTTGTTCTCCTTCTCAAATAACTGTAAAATCCATGTGGACACCAAACGGAATTTCAGAAGAACGAGATGTTACATTATCTTTGGGTTTTATGTGATTTCCCAGGTATCAACAACCTTGTACCTCCTTGTAACTCACAATAAATCAGTTCTTTAGCGCTTCATTTCCACTGTTTTCATTTGGGATCGAACTGGAGTAAAAGTAAATGGAAGTACGTCTACATGAACTCTTCAAACCCCACTGTATGTAGTGAACATGAGGGCCGCTTTGCTAGTGGACTTCGTGTAGACAATCATTGCTGCATGCTTCAAGGAATCCAAACTACAGATATTGGTGTACATGTCCGATGTTAATAGTGCAGCTGACATGGCTGCTGTCTGTTCCTCACAGTGCATTGCACCTGGTGACCACCCATTAGGATAACCAATTCGACAATCTCCAAAGTTCCAAACCATGTACCCCATCCCAAGGTCCACCACCCTGCAAAGACAACTGAAATAAAACCGTGCATTTGTTTTTTATCAGTCTGATGTGTTTTATTGGTACCTGGGCTTGTGTTCGTGTACCTTAACAACTGTAGTAAAATTTCTTGTGTGGCCTTGCACGATTAATAATGCAAATGAGGCTAAAAACGATTGTCGTTTGCTTTTCAAGGTACCTAGTACACTGATACAGATGTAGATCCACCATCCCAAGTATCTGCACTTTTTCACTGCTAGCATTTTACAATGAATCTCGATACAATTTTTAAGATAGGTGTGACCCTATATGCTGGACTGTGGCCACCGAAATCTGGGTTTTTAAATAAACAGCCATTAGGCGGATGGATTCTAATAGTCCCACCCATTTACTTGACCCCTTTTGGCATCACTAAGGTGTTCAAATAGCTCTTGACTCACTCCATTCAACGATAGCCGCTCGAAGAATCACTCGTTTAATTTTAGGATTGCGTAACGCAACTTTATGGTGTCAAAAACGAATCATTGTTGCTCCTTCATTAAGCTGATCCAGACCGATCAGTCCCATTTACAGAGCCGTAAACACCATCATTTATTTTTGAGGAGCATGGTCACCGGTATAAAAAATAAATACGAGCGATGGATATGTGAGAGGTTACAGGATAATATTAGATAAAAGTACACAAACGTCTCATTTGTAGTCCTACTACTGACAGTTCCAGTCATATAGGATAAAAAACGTCTTAGTGATTCTTACTGGGATGCAAACAGGACCGTCTGTCACTAATCAAATGTTTCACATCTTAGTTATCGAAAAACGTCCGACAACTAATCCAGAGGTTTGTTATTAGTCCGATTTGGATCCACTTTTTTCACGCAATAGCTTCGTAAGCAACTCAGCTATCTCGGATGTAAACAAATTCCATCCTTTTTGGTTTTGAAATGCTTCATAGCTTAAGAAAACTTGGCTTATTAGCCGATATCTGGTGCGGTTTTACTTTTCGACGTTGGTCCTAGCCGTAAAGTTAGGTATACCTGAAGTCCGCCATAGTTCGTTGGAGCGGAGAAAGATTCGGTTGCGAAGCTCCGCAATGGTCCAAAATCTACACGAGGGTAAAACAAAGTTATTTCATTCCGAAATGTCCCTCGACAAGACATCGTTAGCTAACAGTTTGAAATGTTCATCAGTGAAATTGCAGGCTTCCAGGAACACTTTCGGAATAGCG